CTATTTCAAGATAAAAATTTCCGCACAACTCCGCAATTTCGGACCAAATTACCATCTCTATTTGCCATCCAATCCAAAATTAACATGTAACTGTCACTAACATGGGATTTGGGATAGAGCCTATAATTTCGAAGATTTCACCATGTGATTGGCCGTTTTTTATGCTTGTCAAACTAAACTTCGAGATATATTCCCTAGCTAATGAGAGATTAGTATTTTCCTAATTTCCTCGGAGGCCCTACCTGCCGCAATCTAGAGTCTATGTAAGACATATTTTCTAGGCTAGGTCTAGACGAAATGTAACTGCAAATCAGGTTTAGCTACTGTGTTTGGCTACAGAAATTTCTTCACGTGTCTTTTTCATTATTTTGTAAACTAGATTTTTTATAGTGAAATGTAATTGTTTGGGTAGCTTCACAAATCTACACTGTAAAGATCTTCAACTGCTTCAACACTTGAAAATCCTGAGGATTTCCTCAGGAAAACACTTCAACTCTCAAATCAGTAATACTCAATTTAGAGGGAGAAGTTCTTCAAGAGTAATTGCAAAGAGAGAAGTGTAGTGGAGTTAATATCTTGAGTGGAGGTAGTTGGCGGGTATTTATAGTCCCATGTGCTGACATGACTCCATACATGTGAACACCTGATTGGTCCACGTGTTACTACCCATGTGGGTTTGTCTATACTAGTGTATGGTTGTCTCTTTATTTTGGGCTTGTAGATGTATGACTGGGCCTCTTGTACATGGCATAGGTTGAATGTTGGGCCCATTCCCAACATTACTCCCCCCTTAGTATTCGATTGATGAACTGGGTTGAATGCTTCCGTGGCCCATCGTTCAACCTAGAGTATGGGTCTAACAATCTTTGGATTTTATGAACAACCTTGTAAACGGCCGAACTGAAAGATTATGGCACAGGGTACACACCCAAACATTGAGATTTGACTTAAACGAACTGTGATGTATTCGAGTTGAGCCCTAGATGAGGAAGCCGTTAAAGAAAAGGTTATACCTAGACGACCTATCCCTAAAGCGACCTCATCAGGCATCTATGAATAGACCGAATTCATATGCCCGAGCATGCGTGGGTGAGCTAATATTAAAGCAATCTTATTCGCATGAATTCGGCGTATATCAACGAGCTCAACGAGCTTGCAAAGGCGAGATTGTATGATGCATTTCCAACTTTCAAATGGAGTAGGTTTAGAAAGAGATGAAATCTCTTGGTAAGGCGTGTGTCATATACGAGGTGTTACGTGTTATGTTGAGAGCTCATTTACACCGACGTGAAAGCGAGCAAACGCATGACGATCTGAACCACGACAATCTTGCAAAAATTCCAAAACAAAGTATTGAGGTTGCCATGCTATTATGAGAACGAGTTAAAGTAAAACGATCTCAACCTTCTACGATCTGAGATCTCTGAGGGGATGTGAATCTTGTCACGATCTGAGATATCTGACGAGATGTGATTACGAAGCCGAGCTAAAATGGGTGACCTTAATCATTATAATGAAGTAAATGCCTAAGGTACGGAACAGATCTGAGGAAATTTGTTACAACCTTAACCTTCGGGATTTTTCAAAATTTAAAACGAAGTGAATCTCTAAGGAGATACGATTTGATATCCCTTTGCCTCTCTACCTTCCCTGCAATAAATGCTGGCCCAACATTTAAAGAGACATGATAGCTAAAGTAGACGGACGTTACATGCAAAACCTTAAGTGGCTGCCACGTGTAAGATTTTAACTAGCACGTCAAAGCCATGCGTATGGCAATTAAGGCTGGATAATCTGTTTGAGAGAAATGGCAGAGTAACGATCGTATAACCGTTTTCTATTTGTTTTGCATTGTACTTTCTGTCTTTTTTTACAGTGAAGCTTTTGAAATTTGAAGAGCACAACTCCAAAATCACAAACGCAAAATAGCATTATACACGTTAGATTCAGGTAAAAATGGATTTCTTTAGAGAACTTAGAGAACTTCGGGGTAACCAGGGTAAGGAAGAAGAAGAGGGTGTGATTTTAACGGAACCCATTGTGATGATAGTGCTGCTGGAATTGCAAGATTTGTCAGAAATTATTACACCAGAAAGCAGCGCTAATGCTAGTGCATATGGTGACTCTATTGGTCACCATTCTGCAGCTTCTAAAGACTCATCTTCAGTGAGGACGCCCAATGAGGCGGGAGACGAGGGAGAAGGTGTTAGCAGTCCTTACATGGCGCCTATGGAGGCAGGTGTGCCCATGTTTGTAGAGTGGAAGGGTAAAACCGTTAGTAGAAGGCTGAGCAATATTCGAAAAGTGCCAAAAGATTTGCTCGCTGGATTCAGGTTTAGAGTGGCGCTTCATCATGAGGGAACACATTCTTCACTTGCCGTTGGACTTCTTGATGAGCATAGGATTAGACACCCACTGTGAATATTCCACCCTCCTGATGAAACATGCCTGTAATACTTCTGTATTTCTTCATCTATAGTAGCTTGCTTCTCATGGCTAAAAAAGCAACACTTCTAAACCACTAGCTTTCTTGTGGGGTTTGTACTGAGTTTGTGGACTATAAAATCTGCTAGAATTCCAAGCATTTCACCTGCTGTCCATGCAAACACATCCTAGTTAGCCTTTAAAAATTCCAAGAGCTCGGTTCTTTCTTCCACTGTGAGTTTGGTTCCTATTTTCACCGTTATCTTTGGTTCATCTCAGTTCAAAGGGACAGTCTCCACCGTTTCTATTGGCTCGGCCTTTTGCTCTACATTTTCAAGTCGATGATTTATGTCAGATATGCTCATCGTCTGTTGACCTGGCTAACTCGACCTAAAAACCTGAGAAACAGGGGCCTTGGGTGCTGCTGCAAGCTCGACCTTTTTAAATGTGTCATGATAGTAGGTTTTAGCCATTTTCTGGTTCCTTTTAAGCACTCCTACCCTTTAAGGAGTTGGGAACTTCATATAAAGGTGTGGTTGAGAGATAACAGCTTTCAACTCGCAAAGCGTAACTCTTCCAATTATAGCATTGAAAGCTGATTTCATCTTAACCAATAGAAAGTTTATTGACGCCATCCTAAATCGTGGTTCAGCATCCACGTAGATGGGAAGTGTGATTACTCCCTCAACAGAGATGGGCTAATTGTCGAATCTGTAGATTGGCCTTTCATACTTCTTTAAGGAAGCTGGGTTTAGCTGCATCTTTTGGAAGCAGCTCCAATATAAAATGTCTGGAAAACTGCCCGTATCTATAAAGACCTTATTGACATTGTGATTGCCAATGTGAACTGTTGCCACGAAGGGGTTAGCGTGGGGCATCATAATATTGGGTTCTCCCTCTAGCCGCTTGTAATCAGTCAGACTGAATGTAATGGGCACATTTTTCCATTTCACTTCCTCAAATGATTGTTTCAAGGGCCTGTTCTTGTTCACTGTCATCACTTGGCGAGCATAGGATTTACGACCTCAGGCACTCTGGCCCCCTGAATGCATGCCACCTAAGATCATATTTATCGTGCCAGAGGATGGAGGTCTCCCGGAGTAGCCTACCCCCTTCTTGTCCTTTTGATTTTGAGTTGTAGTTATTTGTCCTTGTCCTCATCTATTAAGCTGACGTCCTATGTATGCTCTATCAAGCTTGGAAGAGTATTGATTTGTTGGGTATAGATTTTGATTATTGCTGAACTAGTACCCTTGCCCCTAAGGTCAGCCATACTCTTGCACAAAGTGAGTCTAAATGGGCTACTAGGCGTAGGGTTTCTAGACATATCCTTCCAGTTTTACATTGCGAGCTAAGAATTTCAGCTCATCCTTTAGGCTCTAGCAGTCTTTTGTGTTGTGGCCATACCCATAGTGATAGTCACAATACTTGCTTCTATCCGCTCGTGGGGAGTCATGTAGTGCAGGAGGTGGTCTCTTGATCCAGTGCTGTATTTGTGCCAAGATTTGAGACCTTGACGAGCTCAAAGGAACGTAGTTGACATATTTTGGAAAAGAAGGCAACTTTCCTCTCTACTCAACAATCTTTTGTTTTTTTCTTTTCTTCTCTTCCTTTTGGCTGTTTGTGCTCCTTACTTTGTTTATCGTTAGCTCGTCGCTTGAACAATTGAAAGTCTTCTAACAATATGAAGCTTGTTGACCTGTCATTTACTTCGTTCCACAACTTCGGTGGATTTTCCAACAGGTCGTCTAAGAACCGACCAGGCTTGAGGCCATGCAACAAGGCAGATAGGAAAATGGTATCAGGGACATTATCAATGTTTAAGGTGGTCTTGTTGAACCGCTGCATATAGTCCCTTAAAGATTCTCCATCTTTCTGATGAACCTACATCAGCTTGGTAGCAATGCGTTTTATGTCTCTCTAACTAGCAAACTTGTTTGAAAACAAAGTGGCGAGCTCAGAGTAAGAGGCTATGGAATGTCTAGGGAGCTTGTGATACCACCTTCTGGCAGTCAACTTCAATGTTGCAGGAAAAACTTTGCACATCATAGCATCAGTAGTGTTTTGGATTCTCATGATGGTTTGATAGGTATGTAAATGTTTGTCCAGGTCACCAGAGCCATCGTACGTCTCTAAGTGAGGAATCTTGAATCCCTCTTGATATGTTTCTACCGTAATGGATAGGTTGAGAGGGGCACTATCCAAATTGAGAGCCTGTTGGCATGACTTCGAACTTTTCAGCTCATCAATAGACCTCTGTACGTCTTTGAACTGCCTTTTGAGATTGGCATTCTTCCTTACCAACTCTTCATTGTGTTTTGATGAGCTAGGCTCGTGGTTTGACCTCCCACTTCCTCTCGGCATGGTCAACATTACTGTGTTGCTCAAAGCTGGGGAATTACAAGTTACAATTTCTGCAGGCTGTTCACCCCTATTCAACAGAGGAATTAAGGGGTCATCAGGGATTAGACGGGAAAGTATTCTACCTATAGCCATTTCTAGGACCCTGGTTCGTTCTTCCAGCTCGAATGTCTGAGCATATTCCATGGGTCTCCCACGTCGTGACGTGTTGTGCTCGGTGTGTCTTTGCCTCTTTTCAGGTGGATTCTGGAATTGTTTGGGCTAGGTTGCATACCTAGTTGGTGTTCTCTCGTCATCTAAACCACTCAAGTGTTCTTCTTCTAAACCACTCAAGTGTTCTTCTTCTGCTCCTCCAACAAAGAAGTTTCTCAACATTGGTCTAAAATCATTCGGGCCGAGTTCAAAAAACTGGATGTTATCCTGTTTGTCCATGTCATCTCTTGGGGGGGCGATTCCCAATAAAAGTACATACCATATGTAACTTTAGCTAGTTAAGCTACACCATTTTTTGTTCAGGATTCCTATAGACAATGCCAAATGTTTGGGTAGCTTCACGAACCTACACTGTAGAGATCTTCAACTGCTTCAACACCTGAAAATCCAGAGAATGTTTCCTCGAGGAAAACATTCCAACGCTCAAGTTAGCAATACTCAATATTCTAGAGGGAGAAATTCTCCAAGAGTAATTGCAGAAAGAGAAGCGTAGTGAAGTTAATACCTTGAGTGCAGGTAGGTAGAGGGTATTTATAACCCCATGTGCTGACATGAATCCATACATGTGAGCTCCCGATTGGTCCACGTGTTACTACCCACATGAGTATGTCTGTACTAGTGTATGGTTGTCTTTTTATTTTAGGCTTATGGATGTATGACTAGGCCTGTTTGTATATGACCTAGGTTGAATGTTGGGCTCATTCCCAACAGTAATAGATTATAGTTTCTGGCTAAGTCACCATGCCTTTTCTTTAGGGGTGAGAATCCCATATTACTTTACATTTTGCACATATCATACTAGATTCATTTCTTTAATCTGATAAAAAGGCATGCTATTATATATATGTGGAGACCAGAAAACTCGATCAAACTACTTTTTCATGGTCTCATCTCTCTCTCTCTCCCCACACACACAAGAAAAAAAGGCTTCTTATTAGGTTTTTCTCTTCTAGCCTATACTGCTAGATTAAACCTTGCCCTTATCTTTTAACCACTCATCTGAAACGAAAGGCAAATTCAGATAAAATTCAAACAACATATATCTTCGACTATTAGGGTGTTTGAATAAGTTATTCAAATAAAATTAATAGTTGATAGATAATATTTTATCGTTGTTATTTATAATTTAAAATATTTAATTCATTAGATTAAAACCAATAACTATTTAGTTACTTTCGTAATAGTAATCTAAACTCCCATTATACCAGCACGTTAACCTTAAGATTATACCTGCATGACATATGTCTTAGCCTAAACAAAAACTGGACAAAACAGAAAATAAAGAAATTAAAATAAAAAACTGCAAACTTTAGCTGAGAAGCCACGCCTAAAAAACCTGATTATAGATGCGTTTGAAAACAAGACCCAAGAAGATGTTTGATATCAAGTTATGAACAAGTTGTTGGAATTTTAAGAATCAATATAAGTAAAATTTAGGATACTAAAATGTAATAAGATAATTATATTACGTACTTGAATCTCCTTAATTAATATATTATTTAAGAATTTTCAAAAATCTTCTTAAAAAATCATTATAATTAGGGATCTCATGACAAAATCTACAAAATAAATATAGGTAGTATTGGAATTTAGGTCTTCCTCTTCTTAATCAATTTTTGTATAGTGACAACGAATGAGTCGTGCCACTCCCTAATTCTACTATTTATAAAAGCAAGGTTTTCTGAATAGAAGAGGGGACCTAACATATTATAATAATCTTTTGAGCCCTCCATCAAGTAACTCACTTTTACTTTCAGGCCTTATACCTATTCATATCATATCATATAAAATTAAGATAAAACTTAGATCCACTTAAGTCACATTATTTTATTGGGCTTTACCAGTTTTTTCATTTGACTCAATTTTTGAAAACCAAATACAATTAGGGACAGCTAACATAAAAATTTCCAACACAAGTTACTTCATTTCGTTGAACATTGTTTTACGCCGGTCCTGCAAGTTGCCCTTTCTCAAGGAAAAAATCTCATCCAGGCAATCAAAGTCATCGTGGCTTCCTTAATTAAGAGAAACAAGAATCAATTAACTCAATGGGGAATAACATGAAATTATAAAAAATAGACGATCTGAAAATGAAAGGTAACAATCCAGGCCGTGTCCCTATCTAACTGTGCTGCTCATGTGTGTATAGTAGCATTCGCTATGGAACTTTAATCTGCCTATTATATAAATCAACCCATACATCTGTTAATTGTCTCCCTCAAAGAGAAAATCTACTTAGAGTCTAAATTCGTAATCTCTCTAGTCTCTGCATCTTTGTTCAAAACCACATTAACCTCTCTTTTCTCTCTTCATAAGTACTCCCTTGATGAAAATGTGCAAGATTAAACTTACAAACCTTACATTTCACCTTTTTATAGCCGTACTCTTCTGGTTTTCGTGCTTTGGAACCTGCAGTACTAGGGATGGCAAGCACTGGAGACAAAACAAAGCTGCTTCCCTCTCTGTGTTTGAGCAAAGGGAAAAAGGCCAGGGCGGTAGGAGCAGTCACCCGCGCCGTCAAATGGCAGCAAAACAAGTGATGAACTCCGCCACCTTTAATGTTTTAGACTATGGTGCTAAAGGTGATGGGCATACAGATGACACAAAGGTGATTGCATGCAGCACCAATAACTTCTGCTTATGGAAAGCCTAGTACTTCTCAACATTAATCTTAAAGCAATAGAGCCATTTTCTATTTACTATTGCAAATATAACAACGTACGGATTGATGATTATATAACCAAATAGATAGACTGAAGTAAGTTCTATTGCAAACCAGGCATTCCAAGCAGCTTGGGCCGCAGCTTGTAAAGTAGAGGCATCAACATTGATGGTTCCATCTGGCTCCGTATTTCTTGTTGGACCCATATCTTTCTCAGGCCCTACATGCCAAGCAAACATCATATTTCAAGTAAAATTGCATTCCCAATTCCACATTTTATTACTTCTTTTTTGCAGTTGGGGGAGAAGGAAGCCGGGTAACGGGTTGATATGGGGCTCGGAAAATTTTACCTCATTGGCGGGACTAATGTTTATCTACTATCATGCAGATAGATGGTAAAATCATTGCTCCTACAAGTTCTGGTGCTTGGAAATTAGGTCTCATGCAATGGATTGAATTTACAAAACTAAAGGGCATTACCATCAGAGGCAAAGGAATTATTGACGGTCAGGGCTCAGTCTGGTGGAATGAGTCTCCCACAAATGATCCAACGGCTGAGGAATCAACCAGCAGCTACAATGATTCAGTAACCGCGAAGGCTTCTTTTTCCAAATTCCAAATTTAACCATTGAATTCCCCTTTCCACCAAGACTAACCATGCTTTTCCATTTTGTTCGTGTCCAACAGATAAGCACTGAGCTCGGGTCAAAGATGCCAAGCACCAAACCAACAGTAATTTCCATATATGAAACAATCAATTTGGCAATCTTATAATGATATGTTGAATAAAGAACATATGAGCTTTTATATTCTCTGGTATGCAGACACTCAGATTCTATGGAAGCACTGGTGTAACAGTTACTGGCATAACCATACAGAACAGCCCCCAGACCCACCTCAAGTTTGATGCGTGCATGAATGTTCAGGTTTCCAGCTTCACTGCTTCATCTCCTGGTGACAGTCCCAATACTGACGGCATTCACCTGGAGAACTCCCAAGATGTGGTCATTTACAGCACAACTCTTTCATGTGGTACTTGCAGATCCAGAGCAGTCTAGTTTCATTCAAAACATTACAGATTCAGAAATCCAGTTCAGAATAAAATCCAACTATAATTTTTTTGCGTTGTACAGGAGATGATTGTGTTTCTATACAAAGTGGATGCACCAACATATACATACACGATGTAAACTGTGGACCTGGACATGGAATTAGTATTGGAGGACTTGGAAAGGGCAACACCAAAGCCTGTGTTTCAAATATCACTGTTCGAGATGTCATGATGCAAAATACCTTAACTGGTGTCAGAATAAAGACATGGCAGGTATGTCATCCTCATTAGAACCTATGCCTTGCTAAGTGCTAACTAGGTTTGAACCATCAGGAAAGTCCCCTTATTTTTACTTACAGGGAGGCTCTGGCTCAGTGCAACAAGTCATGTTCTCAAACATTCAAGTCTCTGAAGTTGAAACTCCAATCACGATTGATCAATACTACTGTGACAAGAGCAAATGCAACAATCAAACTTCAGCTGTGGCTGTTTCAGACATAAACTATGTAAACATACACGGGACCTATACAGTCCAATCTGTGCACTTTGCATGCAGTGACAGTGTGCCGTGCACTGGTGTATCATTGAGCAACATTCAGCTAAAATCAGTTCAAGAAAACAACCATCTGGAAGAACCTTTTTGCTGGGAGGCATATGGTGAGCTGAGAACCGCCACAGTCCCTCCAATTAAATGTTTGCAAACCGGCAAACCATCAAAGGCTGCTACTCAATCTAATATTGATTCTTGCTGAAATAGTACCAATACTAAATTATGAAAAGCCTAGCCAATAGTGGCAGTTTGTGTACCAGAAAGAAGAAGAATATAGAGGTCCAAATAGGTACAAAGCATCTGTAACATGGGGAAGAAGGGGATCTGAGAGAGCATATCAAGGCTAAGTGAAAGCTTTTGTGATGTACAAAATAAGTTCCTTCAGCAAATTTGTTCTTAACACTCCCCAGATACTCCACCCCCCCCCCCCC